CGAGTCCACGGAGGGCTCCACCCACGAAGGGTCCACGAAGAAGCAACCACCCACGAAGGGTCCACGAAGAAGCAACCTTGTCTATCCCACCATGGCCATCGCCCACGAAGGACTTGCCTCACTAGTGGTAGATCTTCACGAAGTAGGCGATCTCCTTGCCCTTACAAACTCCTTGGTTCAACTCCACAATCTTGTCGGAGGCTCCCAAGTGACACCTAGCCAATCTAGGAGACACCACTCTCCAAGAAGTAACAAATGGTGTGTAGGTAATGAACTCCTTGCTCTTGTGCTTCAAATGATAATCTCCCCAACACTCAACTCTCTCTCATAGGATTTGGATCTGGTGGAAAAAAGATTTGAGTGGAAAGCAACTTGGGGAAGGCTAGAGATCAAGATTCATATGGTAGGAATGGAATATCTTGGTCTCAACACATGAGTAGGTGGTTCTCTCTCAGAACATATGAGTTGGAACTGTGTATGTGTTCTGATGGCTCTCTCCACAAATAAAGAGGAGGTGGAGGGGTATATATAGCCTCCACACAAAATCCATCCATTACACACAGTTTTCCAATCTCGGTGGGACCGAATCAAAAAACTCGGTCGGACCGAAAAGGTAAACCTAGTGACCGTTAGAGATTTTCTGTGGGACTGACATGCAACTCGGTAGGACCGATATGGTTAGGGTTTGGGCATAACGTAATCTCGGTGAGACCGATTTGGTAATTAGCTAACCAGAGAGTTGGTCAGGCAAACTCGGTGGGACCGATTTTCTCTTTCGGTGAGACCGAAAAGTTACAAAAAGGAAACACTGAATTTACATTGCAATCTCGGTGGGACCGATTCGCTCTTTCGGTGAGACCGAAAAGTTACGAAAGGGAAACAGAGAGTTTGCAATCCCATCTCGGTGAGACCGAGATCCCTATCGGTAGAACCGAATTGCTAGGGTTTGGCAGTGGCTTATGACAAATGAAACTCGGTGGCGCCGGATAGAAAGAATCGGTAGGACCGAGTTTGGCTTAGGGTTTAGGTCATATGTGGATATGGGAAAGTAGTTGAGGGTTTTGGAGCATATCACTAAGCACATGAAGCAAGAGGCTCATTAAGCAACACCTCATCCCTCCTTGATAGTATTGGCTTTTCCTAAAGACTCAATGTGATCTTGGATCACTAAAATATAAAATGAAGAGTCTTGAGCTTTTGAGCTTGAGCCAATCCTTTGTCCTTAGCATTTTGAGGGTTCCACTTTCACATCCATGCCATGCCAATCATTGAGCTTTCCTGAAATAATCATCTTGGAATAGCATTAGCTCAATGAGCTATATGTTGTTATGAATTACCAAAACCACCTAGGGATAGTTGCACTTTCAGCGCGCGTGGAGGACCGCGGGCTGACGAGAGAGGTTAGGTTCGACCTGGCGGTAGGTAGCGGACTGTGTAAACGGACTAGAGAGGAAAGAGAGGGAAAGCCCGGCAACAGTTTTCGGAGACCGAAAACGTCCGACGTTAGACCGGCTACTATGCCGCTATAGTTTAACGGTTGGGCTATCAAACAAACTCCGATTGCGATGAAACTTGGCAGGCGGCCTACTACAACATAACAACACCGCATGCCAACTTTCAACCCATTCCGAGAACATTTTCCGGCCACTTATAAAATAATATTTTGGACATGCCGCGGGCGCGTGCGAGTGTGTCTGGGCTCAGAACGGACAACGGAAGAAACTGGAAGACCCGGGCTAATGCAAGTTTTGAAAGCATGATGATGCAATGCACATGATGACATGACAAGATGCAACACACAAGCGAATGACACGGCAATAAACAACGAATAACTGGAAGACACCTGGCGCATCGGTCTCGGGGCATTACAATGGTCCTCCTGTCGCTGATCCCACCGCGTACCGCAGCTTGGCCGGTGCTCTACAGTACCTGACGATCACCAGGCCCGAGCTTGCCTACGCGGTCCAGCAAATATGCCTCCACATGCATGACCCACGCGAGTGTCACCGCACGCTCCTCAAGCGCACGTTGCGCTACGTCCAGGGCACCAGTGCGCTTGGTCTTCATCTTCACGCATCGTCGGCGCTTGATCTCCGCGCCTACACGGATGCCGACTGGGCCGGCTGCCCTGACAGTGCCGTTCCACCTCCGGATTCTGTGTGTTCCTCGGCGACGCCCTCGTCAGCTGGTCGTCTAAGCATCAGGCCACTGTATCGCGCTCCTCCGCCGAAGCTGAGTACCGTGGCGTGGCCAATGCCGTCGCCGAGTGCGTGTGGCTCCGACAGCTGCTCGGTGAACTCCACTGCCCACTCCGCTCCGCCATGCTGGTTTTCTGCGGCAATGTGTCGGCCGTCTACCTCTCCAGCAACCCTGTGCACCACCGGCGTACCAAGCATATCGACCTAGACATCCTCTTCGTTCGGGAGCGCGTGGCGCTTGGCGAGTTCCGCGTCCTTCACGTCCCTACGCGTCAGCAGTTCGCTGACGTGATGACGAAAGGATTGCCCACTGATGTCTTCAGGGAATTTCGCTCCAGCTTGTGCGTCTCTACACCCGACGCTCCAGCTGCGGGGGGTGTTAGCATACAGAGTGTGAGTGCGCGTGTGCATGGTCACCGCGCCTGTACGTGGCCTAGGTAGTGCGTGAGTGGGTTTGTGTACGTGCGAGTAGTGGCACACAATCTGGCCCCTGAGGCTTTCTGTAAGGCGAGTGATACGCGCCGGCGCACCGGCCGAACTGTTCGGCCGGTCCAGCCCAAGCCGTGCGATGCGGTCAGCCCCAGCCGTTAGATTTCCGCGCGAGGCCACCACCGAACCAACCATTGCAGCAAAAAGAACACGTTTTTGTTGCAACCGTTGTACGAACAGCCACAATGAGAAAAACAGGGGAGCTCGATCCCCCGCGTCCGCCCATTCCCGATCCGCGGCAGTGGCGACCGGATCCGCCTGTTCTTCGTTGCCCGCAGCCGAATCACGTCTAGGAGGGGCTCCCCCACCTATCAAGCCGCCTTGGGATTGCTTCAATCATGTCGTACATACGTCATGACCTCCTTGCCGCCATGGATTTAGGCTCGAGCTCCGCTGCCGTTCATGGCCGGAGTCCCCTGAGGAGGCAGGGCCCTGGTGGTAGTGGACCGGTGTTGCAACGGTACTACAACCCTGATGTCTCATGTGTTTCTCGTTGGCTCCATGCATGCAGCAGCGTGTCCCCGTAGTTGCATCTCCCGGTGACGACGGTCGCAACTCCGGTGATGACGAACGCAGCTCCGGCGTTCTGCGGCTGCAGGTCGCACCACCTCCGGCGACGAGCTCGTAAGAAAACTGTACTCTTCGTTCGGGGTGTCGGTAGCAGCAAAAAGAACGCCCGGTTGTAGCAAAAAAGGGCAACGCTTCCAACAAATTAAAAGCTCGCCGGCACCATTGTAGCAAAAATGTTAACCAATTGTATCTTCTGTGGCTGCCGGTTGCAGCAAAAAAATGACACGGTTGTAGCAAGAAAAACATTGACGTCGACCGGCCGCTGCATATGGTGGTAGCAAACCATGTCGCCGGTGGTAGCAAATGAAGCCGTCGGTGGTAGCAAAACAAAAAACTAGTTCCAGCAAAAAAGAATCAGCTACAAATACAGTAGTTGGTTCCAGCAAAAAAGTTTATGGGTTGAAGCTTTTTAAATGTAGGGTTGAAGCTTTCATGTAAACGGTTGCAGCTTTTTTTATTTGGGCAAGAAATCGATAGCAAAAAAAGGATGTAGCAAAAAAACACGCTGGTCGTAGCAAAAGATAACGGCAGTTGCAGCAACAAAATGTCGTTGTTGCAGCAAAAAACGGATGCAACTTTCGTCCGTCTGCAGTTGTAGATATTTTTCCCACCCCACAGCTTGAGCGGTTGGTGAAAAAAAAAGCTGACCGAGTAAACGTGGTGGGCCAAGGCCAGCGTGATGGGCCAAGGAAAAAAAACAACGTGGATCGGGAGGTGCGGGAGCGCTGGATCGCTACCCGATCAAGCGGCGTGCGCGGGACCGGCCGAAACGCTCGGCCAGTGCACCGTCTGGGAACATTTCCCTTTCTGTAACTGTATATATACGCCCTCAGATGGCTAATGCAAAGTGTGTTGAACCTCATTCCTGCTTTCAGTTCAAAACAACACTGTGTGTGTAAAGCATGAGGAAGGGGATACAATATTGTTCTCGCATGATAATTGGACTGATGGGGCACTTGCTCATAAATTTCCTGAATTGCACTCTTTTGCCAAAGATGTTATGGTGCCTCTTTCATTGGTCAAGGCCTCTGTTGACCTTTCTGAACTCTTCCATGGGCCATTTTCAGTTCAAGCATATGATCAGTTCATTGAGCTTCAAAACCTTTTGCCACAGGGCTCCCAGCTGGATGGAAAGGACATCTGGATTTGCAGTGATCAGCCTAACAAATACTCCTCCACCAAAATGTATACAAACGTTACGGGAAACTTTAAAGGCCATGTGATTTTCAAAAAAAAAAACTCAAAGAATGAAAGTAGACTCAAACGTAAGATCTTTTTCTGGTTGGCTCTCCACGACAGAACAAACACCAAAGCTCTGCTCAAGAGGAAAGACTTCTATATGAATAATTATAATTGCAGCCTTTGTCAACAAAGCACTGAGGAAACTCTTTTGCATCTCTCCTGGGACTTTGAGTTTGCTTTATCATGCTGGGATTTTCTTCTCCGTGACAGAAGAAGAGGTCTCTCCTTTTATGACGAGGCTGTTCTGGTTCTGTAGTAAATTCCCTACGTAGATTGCTATTGATATATTTGGATGCAAAAAAATATGACAAAATTCTAAGCTGACCCCAAGCCTCAAAATTCGCCTACTATAACAGGAGGACAGTTTACACACTCATAAATCAAGTCATAATGCCTCTCAAAAAAAATCAAGTCACAATGGCATACAAACAGGAACATAATATCAGCTACTTGATCTCCATCCATTTCCCACTCGCAACGGCAGCCCAAGATCCCACAGAACTACCTGTAGGACGCTGGCTGCGGCGCATACCCGACCTGAGGCGGCATCGGCTGATCGATGCGCGACATCTGCTGCATCGGAGGGACCGTCATCGCAGCCCCGCCCAGCTTGCCGTCCCTCTTGTCCATCTCCACCTTGTGCTGCGTCTGGAAAATTCCATTAGATCGATCGCCGTGTCAGCGTCGGCTCAAGTGTTCAATGTCATCAAGGAATAAGAAAACTTCAGTTGTTTGAGCGAAGCAAAGCTCGCGTGCCATTACCTGCATACAGGAGCAAACCCTGCACAAACAAATTCATGCAGTTCAGAAAGAATGTTTCTTCAAATGGCCTGGGGAAGAAGTCAGAGAGTGCCTTACGTCCAGTAGACCGTGTCGGAGACGCAGGAGATCGCCTGCGAAGCCTCGGAGAGCTCCTGGTTGCCGACGATGCAGGCGACCAGGGAGCAGATGCAGGCCAGCTGCTGGAGGCAGAACATGGAGCTCTGCACGCACGCAGTGACCAAAACGGGTTCAGAGGTAAGTTATAATCACCTGCAAAGTTGTGAAACGAAGATAGCAGCGGGAATGAGGTGATGGTGGTAAGTACGATGATGCAGTTGTCGCACTGGGTCGTCTGGATGTTGAACTCGTCCTGCAGCAGGAACCTGGTCGAAGCAACCGAGCTGCCGAAGCAGAGGAACGCCTGGAAATCCGGTTGATCAGAGCTGAAAATCAAGAGGCCAAGAGGTAGAAGAACGCATGTGTCACGCACGCACCTCTGTTGCGAGGCATAGTTCTGGGCATTTGCTCTCGCCGCACCTGCCGCTGCATGGCATGTACCCGGCGCAGCACACATATCTGGAACGCCGACAGAGACGCATGGATTAGCGAGACTGAAGAACAGAGAACTGCACCAGTACAAATCAAAGGAAATACTAGAAGAATCAAATTTAAGCCTCACCTCGACATGTCGTGGTAGAGAGCACGCCTGCGGAGCATGTAGGAGACGCATGGGCCGCTGGATAACATCAGAACACAAAACAGATACACATTTGTTAGAATTCATCAGCTGGGATCCAGAGGATCGGAACAGTGCCCACTCACCACCACAGCGACAGACAGCAGTCTGCATCAAAAGGAAGAACAAAAAGACACAAAAAGTAAGTCAGGTCCTGGCATATCTTAAGAAATCAAAACAGCTACTGCTTCATAAGTTGGAAGAATAGGATACGCACATGGGAAATCCGCCTGGATGGCGTTGGTGAGGTCGGTATGCCAGACGTTGCGGTAGCTCCGCCGGAGCAGCGCCTTGTCCATGTACTCCTGCGACGCCGCCATCTCGCCGCTGCGCGCACTCGGTTGCTCTGGCTCTCGCGGTCCCACGCGATCGTCTTGGCGGCGACTGCGAGGGAGCTGTGGCTAACTTAGGTAGCAATGGCGAATTGGCGATGGCTGGTCGCTTAAGGTAGGCGCGCTTTGGTGCCAGTCCCGGTCGGCAGTGGCGGAGCCAGAACTTTTCTGGAGCCTGGGCAAGCTTTAGCCTAAGTGTCTAATGTCGAAATAAAAATTTGATGTTCTGATAGATACAACATGTAAAATAATCCCAAACTTCAAAACCACAAATCAACACTAATAACGAAAAAACAAAGCCATAAAATGTAGTTTTATAGTGGACTAATATGTAACATATCGATGTTCAATTTCATAGACAAAATAAATTTGAGACTTGACAATAAAAGTCATAAAACCAGGCTATGCATGGAATCAAACTCACCTTGTTCCAAGCAAAAATATAGCTATCCAAATTACCATCCAAATGTCCTAAAAAATACTACAAGATGAGAAAACAGATTCGGAATTCACATAAATTGATCGTTGTAATTTGTGGATATATTCAAAATAGAGAGCTTGTACGAATAAATGGAACATAGAATAGTGTGTTACAAAAAACCACGAGGCAGATTCAATTTGTGATACTCAGTTGCGATAAATGTTCGAATAATATTATAATCATGATCTAACTTGGATAAATTTCAATGGCCTGACCTTGAAATCTACGCCCTAGATGTGGATAGGCACATCAGTTAGCAATCTTACCCAATCTGATTATGAAGGAGGGAACGAGTAGGCAAGGTTGCAAGCCGTTCCTGCCTTCCCCGGGACAGATCTGCTCATCCTGCCGCCGGCCGCTCGCCGAGGCCAAGGCCAGCCTCCGAACGCCGCCTCTAGGCGCGCTATTTCCATGCGGTAGGCAGCCGAACAGCGCAGGAGGAGGCGAGCGATTAGCGAACAGAAACATCGATTAACAAACAACCGAACGTGCGTGTGCGTATCAGCCTAGGGATTAAGCCGAACCTGGCTTGCTAGGCCTAGCTCTTACAAAGCCCATTACCAACGGAAGCCGGCCCAACACAATTCTGCCCGGGAAATCACGGTGCGTGCGTCAATTTTTCCAGCTGTCGCACGACATCGTACGCGTAGGCATAGGCATCGAGCCCGGGCAAGTGCCCAGGGTGGCCGGGCGCTGGCTCCGCCCCTGCCGGTCGGCCGCCGGAAGAATGGTCGACGGTCAATGCCAGAGTCGTCGCCTGGAAAGTGAGAAGATGGTGCACGTTGGAAGCTTCCATTGCATGCGATCAAGCAGTGATCAGACCGAGGCGAAGGATGACCGGCTCGTGAAGTCTCTGCAGCAAGAGTCCGCACGATGGGTCCAGCAGGCAGTTCGTGACTTGAGAGCGTCCTTGCCGGCCGCGCGGGACACGCCAAGCTTTCTGAGCAGCAGAAGGGCGATGAGCTTTTTGTTTCCTCTTTCTTGATCTACGCAGGGGGATTCACACCTACCAGAAATAAATCGGTGGTACTTAACCCCGAAGAAAGTTTGGAGAGGTTTCGCAGTTTGCAGATCAGGTTGATCTTTTCTTCTTCTTTGAGGAAACGGATCAAAGTAGCTTGTTTTGGGACCTGGATTTTTCCTAACACATTTTGCGCGCAACTCATATCTCTTCCACACATCTAGCATGCACGTCAAATCAGCATGCAGTCAGGTCCCACAAAGATTCGTTGTATTCTAGCGTACATCAGTTTTCTTGTGACATTCTCTCTCCCGTATTGCAGATACCAGACTGGCCCACACAGACTGGCCCACACAGACAGGCACAAGGAATCGGAGTGGTGTGGGTTGGGTCTAGTACTGCACAATTCTAATTTTAAACTACATCTGCGCGAGAGACAGAAGGGCTTTTAAGGCTAATTGACCGTTAAATTAAATGCGTAATGAACGATAATCATGTGTTCAACTAAATGTGACAAATGATTATAGAAAAAATACCGAAATTATTGTCAGAAAAAACTAATGAAATTAACTACTGGATAATACTCCCTCCGTCCGGAAATACTTGTCATTGAAATGGATGTATCTAGATGTATTTTAGTTCTAGATACATCCATTTTCATCCATTTTGATGACAAGTATTTTCGGACGGAGGGAGTACCAAAGAATTTTTTAGATGAGTGTAGAGAACTCTATTGGAAATCCCACAGAACTTTACAAAATACAAAGTAACTATTACAGAATCTGGTGGTTTTCTCAAAAGTTCTTCTGATTTTTATTGAAAAGTTCATTAGTTTTTCAACTGAACTTTATGTTAACCATCCAAGAACTTGATTGAGACAATCCAAAGGACTTTATAAAATTAACGAGATAAGTTCTTCATATCTTAGAAAGTCCTTTGAGTTTCTTTTGTAAAGTTCAGTACAAATATTCTATTTGATTCATTTATTATTAAGTCCTTTGGATTTTTTTTGATAAAGTTCTTCTGAAAATATTCATGTATTGTTAGAAAAATTCCCAAACTAGGTTAGTATGTTTCGTGTACAAAACCAAGGCAATAATAATTACAGTAACCAAACAGTTCAGAGATAGCAGTAGATCCTCGTTTCTTCCATTAAATCCAGGTAAGAATTATAAGATACACATTCAGATCAATAAAAAAAATTCCTGAGTATGGAGACTGGAGAGGGGCAAAACGAGTGCAGTCAATTGCTGAAAACTGCAATGGAGGAAACAAAATAAGATCAATCCATATTCCTAAGTGTGCTGGAAGAAAAATACATCGGATAGAAGCTACTATCACACACGAAACCAGATGTATCTTGAAAGATTGAGAAAAGAATAAAAATCTTGCTTAAGAAAAAACAAGGAGAGGAATCTCTGCTACCTATACTCTTTGAAGAAGACAAATGGGGAAGATGAGGAGGAGCTCTTGACTCCTCACTGGACTCTAGATCTGGCCACCACCGAGCTGTTCCAGTGGTGGTGGTGGTGATGCTCGTTGTTCGTGGACGCCCAGCATCCTTTCACCATCCCCACCATGGCGATGAGGCAGCCACGCTGCTCCATCTTTCCTCGATGGCGGATCTGGCGACAGAGGCAGCAGGGCATGGGCGGAGAAGAATTGCCTGCCGGTGAAGAAGCACATCTCACGGGAGGTGGTCTCGCGGCCATGGAGGAGGAGCGACCCGACGTTGTGTGGCCATGGTGGGGGAGAAGGGAGCCGGCGGTGCGCCAGATTCGACAGAAGATGGGGATGGGGAACGAGAGAGAGGGGGACTGAGCGGTGGGGAATGGCCGAGCGAGATAGGTACGATGTGACCTGTATTTCTACCGCCGTGCCGCGTATAACGCTGAGAAAATTAGAATAGGGGTTGTTGGGTGGGACCAGGTGGAGCACGCTCGCGCAGATCCAAATGACGCAGCGACGGCGACGATTGGAGTTGCGCGACTAACCAGTTAGGCATGGACATATTCGCTTGTTTTGTTCTCTCAAGTAGCCTGAAGATTTTGTCCGGCTTAGGCTGGTCATAGTAAGGAGTAACTTATACTTATACTAGTGTCATGCATATGACACTAGTCTAAGTTATTATTTTTATAATGTAAAGTAACATAGTAGTAGTGTCATAGAGAATTTCATTTATTAGTTTGTAGACTCATCTTGTACTGGGAAGCGCTATGTTACAGTAACATATTATGTTACCACTTCTCATTAACTACATGCCACATAAACAAAAATTTCTTGGAGTGCGCTATGTTACTACCTAAGTTACTCCCAGTATGACTAGCCTTATGTACACTTTTATCACTTGACCGCTTTGCCTTTCCCCACTTTTGCCAGTTTACTGCTATTGCCACATACTCCCTAAGTATAAAGTTGGGTCATCTATTTTGAAACGGAGGGAGTAGCGCATAACACTGTAATTTTTCAAACAAATTGCGTTAGAATTAAACTAGCACATTATCTAGTAGAACCCTAGTATGTATTTTTAACTAGGATGAGCTAGTTCAAATTAGTGTGATTTATAAACTAGGACATGGAAAAGTTCAACTCTAGTGTAGATTCACCGGCTGATTTCTCTGGTATCTGTTTGTTTGTCAAGCACTTTTTTTTCATTTTTCAAAAAGGGGGAGCTTCTTGGTCTCTGCATCAGAACTAATAAGCAAATAGGTCCAACACAAATCTTGATGTCTCAAACAAAAGAACAAAAAATGCTCACAAAGAGCAGAAAAAAAAGTAAAAGCCACAACCAGCTGGCATAAAAAAGATAGGAAAACTAATTGCTATCCTATTACATAACCGTCATCCAAACAGGTTGAAAATAGCCCGTGCTACCATCTCCCATCGGATAGATCCAGTAACCATACGCTCCCTGGCTCCGTCGGAGTGAGTAGCGACCACATACGGATCAACGCAGTGACTCAGAAGATAACCTATAAAAAATGAATATTTATTGTTCTGTTAAAGACCAAATCATTTCTGCAGTTCCAGACTGTGTCAAGCACATGGGTGTCAACTCTATGATAGTATCCATAGAATAGTGTAAGGTTGTTTTTGATTGGAAAGTATTATCCTACACCTAAGATAATACGGTTAAGAAACATTATTATGAATTTAAGCAACATGACAATGGCCATCTAGCCCAATCATGGGAACGAATGACAAAGATGCTTAGGATTTGTCCTGCTCATGGGTTGGATGAACCTTGGAAGTGGTATGTTATTATAATTTTTGCAACATTTTTTCTTTGGTGTTTCATATTTCTTGTTCAGGTCATATACTTCAATGTTTAGCTCTCCTGTTTAGCTCTCCTGCTCGTTACAATAGTCGAACCTGGTCCATTTAATGGTCCCTAGCAGCAACGTCAGCCTCACGCCTTCGCTTCGCCTCCATGTTGCATGTCGTTGCTCGACGCTCGACTGCATGTGGACAAGCTCTGTGGTGGCCATCGTGTCGCCGAACTCCGTGCCTCGGGTTCGGCGGCAACAATGTTGAGGACACTGTATACCGAAGCGACCATGCCGAGAAACGAAACGAGAGATAAAGGAGGAACGACCAAAGTGACAACCCCTCTCACCCTCCGCCCACATTCCCATTCCGATCACCATTCCCATGCTGGTGCTAGCGGAAGTAGGATGCGTGAATTGGCAGTGGTAGCAGCAGATGGGCGGGGTGAACTTAGCATTGTTCACTCGGATCAATTTCACTTAGGATCATGTCTAAGTCCCGAACTGGTGTCCTGAAGAACCTTACCCTCAGTCGACCCATCATTCTTGACATCATCGACCCTTTGTGCCGTGACGGAGGACCACCATGCTTCACGCCTGCAACGTTTTGGCCAGACGGTCTCTCAGTTCCTCCCCCCGCATCATATAAATACATTTACTCTGTAGCAAAGCACAAGTGTCATGCTGGTACAAGAAAAGAAGCAAGACGAGAAGTAGGAGTTTTATCCGTATTGGAGGCCTCGACCTGGGTATATTGTGTGCCTCGCTTTACTTGTGTTCTAATTCCAAATCCAACGGTAGCCTGACGTGACGTCTTCGCGATTACCAATCCGCATATTTTTCTTCCTCCCGATGTTATGACCCAACGAAAGTTATAAGAACATCCATGGAAAATGGATAGTTCCTCAAACTAGGAATACGAAAAACTGAGCGGGCGAGCCATGACTTTGCTGAAATGAAAACCCACAAAAACCTCCTGATGCAAGTTTCTTCCGAGACAAACCTGATATTTTTCATTGATGGGTAATCCTGATACATGTAAATCAAGATAAAGTCATCGGGTTGATACAAGCCCACGCAAATAGAAAATGAACGTGTCCCATCAGGAGACATTTTGTCTGTATGGTGTCCTTCGAGAGCTTCAGCCACATGGTAAGCCATAATTCAAGGCAAGGACTTGCTCCGTAAGGGCCTAATTAGGAGAATAGGGAACGGAATGAAAGCGGAGGTGTGGTATGATCAGTGTATTCAACGTCAAGGCAAGATGAAGCCGATGAGACAACTTACAGAAAATTCAGCCCATATGGTAGCCGACCTTCTGGAACCTGACTCCGATCAATGGAGTGAGGAGTTAGTTCGAGACACTTTCTATGCTCCGGATGTGCACACAATCTTAAGCACCCCAAAGGCTGAGGCAAGCAAATGAAGACATATGGGCATGGGCATGGGAGAAGTCATGTTTTTATACGGTAAATCTACTTACAAAGAGTTGATGGATGAACGTTTCAAAGAAAAAGTTACAGAGACTAAGGTGCGCCGACAAGGATTGGAAGGCACTTTGGAGGTTAAGGTTCTTCCTAAAATCAGAGTATTCTCGTGGAAAGTGGTGCAAGCTTTGCTGCCATGTTTGGGCGAGCTGCGGAGTATTATGTAAAATGATGTTTTTTCGTTATGTGGGAATGATGACAAAAGTTTGTACTATACTCTCTTGACATGTGATCACGCTAGACGTTTTTGGGAGGCAATTGAAACTCACTTCAGTATTAAAGCCCCCAAGTTGCACCCGATCACATGGGCAATGGACATGTTGTATCCAAGCATTGTAGCTCGGGACAAGGTTGCGACAATAGTTACCATCATATGGGCGCTGCAACACTCCCATGGCAATTACACACATGGTGAATTCACGTACCAGCCACATGAGTCTATGGCTATCATTGATGATATTGTGCGGAACCTTGAAGTTCTAGCACATATCATAAATGTGGTTGCTCAAGCGCATGAGAAATGAACCAGAAGAGCTATAATGGACCAAGATAAACACATATGGGGTGACAGATGAGCGTCGTCGAAGAGGAGGAGCTGGTTTTGCTGCCAGGGACCATTCTGGGTCTTCCATTGTTGTAGCGAGAGCAAGTTATGACCATGTTGTGGATCCTTTATCAGTTGAGCTACTTGCTTGCAGAGATGCCGTCTGTTTTGTGAGAGATAAAGGCCTCCAAAAGATGCACGTGAAGACTGATTGCAAAGAAGTCCCGTTACTCTTTTTTTTATATAAAGAACATTTCATTGAATTGATATATCGAGGTGATAGAACCGCATCGAAAGAAAGACCGGCCTCTGCATAGCTTGATGCACACAACCAATAAGTCCAACCGACCCAAAAAATCCCGTTACCCTAGGAATCAAACTCCGAACGATCAATTGCATTCTATATTTTACGTGAGATTCGTGAGTTAGTTAGTTTTTTCTAGGGATTTTAAACTTGTCTCTTTGCGTTTTCTCGAAAAAAAGAGTTCTTAAACAGGCAAAAGAGGTTGCTCATTTAACTGCTCAAAAGGATTTGGACATTAATATCCTGTAATAAACTATGATGCAATCCCTATTTTTCTGGCCTGCGTGCAAGTCGCTAGGCCTTCGCAAGTTGAATAAAGTGGCGAAGTGTGTTTGAAATAAAAAAGGAAAATAAAATGAACGTGTTCCTTTGATCACTTTCGGCTCTGCTGTCATGTGGGGCCAAACGGCACCAATAGTCCGACCACCATATCGTCACTTCTCATCCGGTTCTGCCGTTCTGGTGCAAGGCCCAGGCACCGTTTTCTCTCTCCGTCGATCTACACCGCCCACCCGGAATTCAACGGTCCAGAACTCGGCAACCTCCCTAATAGGGTTACGGCATCTCCTCCCCGCTCAGTCTCACACGGCAGACGAACCTACGCCGCACATCCTGCCATCGACGGTCCGGACCCTGGCCACGCTCCTTCCTCGGACGTGCCCACTCGGGTCGCCCTGCGCACGAGCCGCGCCGCCGTCACACCCCGACTCGATAAACCCTTCCGCGCTGTGCCTCCGCGGCTCTCCCCTTCTTCCTCCTCCCGCTCCCACCCGCTCCACCTCCCGCCGCTCAAAACCCTAACCCTAGATCGCGAGGGCCGGCTGACATGGCCAGCAAGTTCGGGCTCGCCGGCGGAATTCCGGAGCGGCGGGTGCGGCCGATCTGGGACGCCGTCGACTCGCGACAGTACAAGTCCGCGCTCAAGCTCTGCACCGCGCTCCTCGCCAAGCACCCTACCTCACCCTACGCCCTCGTGAGTTCCCTCGGTCCTCCTCGTCCCCATTTTTCTGTAGTTCCCGTCACGGTCTGATGAATCTGGCTTGGAAAATGGGTGTGGTTTCTTTCGATGCTTATATTTGGAGCGTCCTGTGTTTTTTTAATCAAACGGATCGAGGTACCAGTTGCGTCGATGGAAGCTATATGGCTTCTTGTGCATTGTGCTGAATTGCTTGCTAGTTCTAGCTCATACTGACTTGCTTGAGCTGTTCACACTGATTTAAAGACTCTTAGGCCACCTATGACTAGCTGGGCGCACAAATTCAATAGGAGGCTTCTTATTGAGGGGTCTGGTAGGAAGAGGTTGTGGCAATCCTAGGAAACAAAATGCTCGGACTAACGTGGGGAACTACTGGCATTCTGAAGCCACTCCCATTAAGCTGAGCCGTCTAATTCACAGTGGGTTTATTTGAAGGCCTTAAATTCCTCTCCCTAGCAAAAGTTTGCTAGATTGCTGCGTATCAAGTTGGATGGGAGGAGAGGATATGGTGGGAATGAGGTGATATATAGAAGTAAATGGGTATTGTGGACTGATGGAACTTCCATTGAAGCTAGAGAGGTAGGGGACAAAGATATTTTGTTAAGAGAACTACAGGGGTCCTATCCCAGATGAACGGGCTTTTACTTGCTTAGCTCACAAGTGTCAACTAGCATGCCATTTAGTTTAAACTTGGCCATTCGTTTTTGTCAAGCTTAGCCCCAGAAGTGAAACCAATGCCTTGGTTCCAGCAGGTGGCAAGATACTAACTCTTGAGCTGTGGTAGCAAATCAATTAGTTCAGAAACTTAAGATTAGGCACTGTTTGTACTTTATGATATAATGCTATTAAAGTTAGGATACTAAACTCTTCCTTAGACATTTAGGGACGTATGTTGTCTGTAGTATTGTAGAGCTGTCTCTCAAATCAGCCTGGACCTTGCAAATCTGACATGCTGTATTTGTTTTGTGTGACAATTTCAGTTAGCATGGCCTTGACTTATTCCTTTTTTATCTGTTGAAGATCTTGTAACAGAACCACCGTTTTCATGCTGCTACCGTTTTTAGTCAACATGATCAACTCAGTTTTGATAAGAACTAATGACTTTATGTTGGCTGTATTTAGAATGCGATTAAATGACACTGTTTAATTATCTAATTTCAGGCTCTCAAGGCTCTTACTTTGGAAAGGATGGGAAAGCCTGATGAAGCACTGAGTGTCTGTTTGGAAGCCAAGGAGCTATTGTACTCAAATAACATTTTCCATTTTGACGATCTCACCCTTAGCACACTACAGATAGTGTTTCAAAGGCTTGAGAGATGTATGTTTATACTTCACTGTTTGCCTTATCTGTTTGACGTCACCATTTTTCTAAATTATAATGTGACTGATTGTATTTCTGCCAGTGGACCTTGCAACTTCATGCTATGAGTATGCTTGTACAAAATACCCTAATAACTTGGAATTAATGATGGGACTCTTTAATTGCTATGTCAGAGAGTACTCATATGTGAAGCAACAACAGGTATGATGGTATTTTGCTAGTTGCTCAATTTGAATTCTTTGTGTTCCCTTGTTCAGTTCTTGATCCTCCCACCTTTATGTGTTTTGCAGACAGCGCTTAGAATGTACAAAACTGTAGGAGAAGAAAGGTTTTTGCTTTGGGCAGTCTGCAGTATTCAACTGCAGGTAGGTTCAGCATACATACATGAGTTACAAGTTCTGCATTCACAATTTTAGTTGAAGCAATTGTAATGGCACACTATCATTTTCTTGCTCACTGGAAATTAAGAAATCTCTACATGAAAACAATGCATTGCATGACTCCTATGGATGTATGGACACGCTGATGGAGTGATGGTTCTAGGGTTTGGTAATTGGACAGAGGATAGGGAGGCCATATACAGCATTCAAGCAGTTGATATCATTCCGTCGTTCGGCTTCCCACTTTTGGGAGACTTCTAGTTTTGGATTTTCTTTCTTCCAAAACGGACACCATATTTGAAAATTAAGTATAATAGAGGGAAATACTTCTTGTGTGAAGCTTTCAGTATAAATGTGACGGGGAACAAAAGAAATGTACCGTGGGAGCAATTGGAAGATGCTTCAGTACAATAATAGAAGGTACCACGTGGATGCAATCCAGAGTGTACTACTAGAGCACATACTTCATAATAGAATATTAGTGGAGCAAATACAAATTATTAGTCTAACAAATAAACAATGTCAGTGTAACGATTCTGAAGATATCTGGTGGAAGAAATAGAAGTATCAGTGGAATAACTAGGGCTAGTAGAACAAATGGAAATGTATTATTGGAACTTACAAATATTATTGGAGTAATATATCTTGTTGGTTCACACGTGGAATTGTCTTTTCATTGATCACACATGCATGACTGGATTAAAATGTATGACCTTACTGAACAAAGCTGAAAAAGAGAACACTATGACTGTTTTGAGTAAACTTATGCAAAATGAAGCAGGACTCTTGTTAAGAAGAATAGAAGATCTTGTGATGGTTGAAATGGATTGCGGTTAACCTGTCTAAAAGATGCATTCTTTTCTAATCTATGTATTAGATTCTGGAGCTGCCAATCTCTAAAAACCACCTTTTATAGGGGAGGGAGGGATGAGTGATACACGCTTATACACTGTTTTTGTATAGCATTCACTGAAGATAGTGGATGGGGAGAAATACTGTGAGGGATTGGGAGCACTCTGTGTGTATAGATATGCTGAAGATAGTGGGAGGGGAAAATAATACTGAGGGACACTGTGCATGTATAGCATTTACTGATTTACTGAAGAGAGTGGGTAGGAAAATAATACTGAGAGGGATTGGGAGCACGCAGGACATAAACGAAAGTGGAAGATAGGAAAAATTGCTACTGGTCTCATGGACTCCATCTAAGGGCCGACCTATCAATTCTTGTAGATTACAAAACCACTGTAAATTTTGGGCAACATCCTAGTTTTGTTAGGTGTGATGCATTTGTCCATTGGATGCAATGTAGTAACTTGTTATAGTGTAGGCACTATTTTTTGTACTACTCTGATAATTGGCGAAATAGATACGATGCATGAATGCTCTAGGTACGAATTATCCATCTGATGCAATGCGATATTGCATCACAGGAAGTATACAAGTTGTGTTTGGTTTATGCCCAAGGTTGCCCTACCAAAACATTGGCTAGCCAAAACTTTGGTTGAGGTTTTGTTTGTCAATGAGTTGGCCAGCATTAGGAAGTACTCCCTCCGTCCCAAAATAAGTGACTCAACTTTGTACTAACTTTGCACTAAAGCCAGTACAAAGTTGAGTCACTTATTTTGGGACGGAGGGAGTAGAATGAACTAGAGTTGGCCAAAGAGCATTGGCATGCCAAAAAAATAAGCAACCATCCATACATAGACTAATTTTTTGGTCATAGCCAAAATTTTGGCAGGTGACACTTTGGTCACAATCCAAGCATACACTGCATGTGAACCTAATTCTTTGAAGTCTTCAGTGTGAAACGTTATTGCACATTTGCACTAGCATATTCCTTCTCCGATCTCCTTTTTTTCATCTGGAAAACATTCAATTCAATATTTAATAGCAATACTTATGCCATACCTACTAGCTAGAACATGTAAGTTGAGGGCTTGCATATAGCATTATTAGCTATGATTACCTTGCATTCCATATGTGCTATTATGTTATATGACTTCCATTTTGCCCATGGCAGGCATATTTTAGCAGCGGAGGTGAGAAATTGTTAGCATTTGCTGAAGCATTGCTTAAAAAGCACATAAGTTCACATAGTTTACATGAGCCAGAAGGTATCCCTGCTTACCTAAAATGCACAATGTATGAGGTTATCTTTTTCTCCTCAAGATTTGTTCTCTTTTAACGTGGTTATACTACTTGCAGCACTTTCTCTCTATGTTTCAATTCTGGAACAACAGGCAAAGTATGATGCTGCTTTGGAAGTTCTATCTGGAGACTTGGGGTCTCTTATGGGAAGGGAGGAGGACAAGCTTCGTTTGCAGGTAATTTCAAGATTCATTTATTTGACAGTGTCTTGTCTTGATTGCTACTCATCTGGAATCTGGATACCAGTCAGAAGTCACAGTTTGTTTTATCATCTTTATAATCATCAAGAGGAATTTATGGTAACTTTACATTATTTTCTTATGTCAAGAGAGGTCGGGGTAGACCAAACTTGACAATGGGAGGATCTGAAGGACTGGAATATCACCAAAGATTTAGCCATGGACAGGTGTGCGTGGAAGTTAGCTATCCACGTGCCAGGTTTCGATATCTTATGGGTTTCAACTCTAGCCTACCCCAACTTGTTTGGGACTGGAAGGCGTTCTCGTTGTTGTCATCGTTTAAATGATTTTCCAATGAAGGGGAGCCTTGGCACAGTGGTAAAGCTGCTGCCTTGTGACCATGAGGTCACAGGTTCAAGTCCTGGAAACAGCCTCTTACAGAAATGTAGGGAAAGGCTGCGTACTATTGACCCAAAGTGGTCGGACCCTTCCCCGGACCCTGCGCAAGCGGGAGCTACATGCACCGGGTTGCCCTTCCTTCTTCTAGAGTATAGACTGAAGTATTACATACTTATTCTTTCTTATGGTTATTTCTGTTCATTAAATGGGCAACAGGGTGGGTGAGAGTATTATGGCAATGTGGCGCTCTCCGACCTCAGTGATCACACTGAACTTCAGTGCAGAGGCTAGAGTGCTTTTCTGCATGTACACCATAGCAATATCTGAATTGATAGCTAAACCAGCTGTTCTGTACTTCTTTCTGCATTGAATTACTATGGAATACCGTAATTAGTTCAGAACCTGGCAAGTTTCTGAAAACTATGATGAACATACAGTTAAAGTAGTTTCCTGTACTGTGGTTTTAGTGAAAACGTTATGCCCTTAGTGTTTCTACTGGTGGTTATCTAATGTCTGTTGCACCTCTAGCACTTACAATCTGTACATGTGTACAAAAGGTTACTTTAACTTCTAACTTTTAAGTCCTTTTTTCTCTCCCCCTCTAATATGCTTGGTAATGAAATTGATAACCACTTACATTTTACCTGACTTCAAGTTGACAGGGACGTCTTCTTACTCAAGCGTGTAACTATGTGGCCGCTTCTGAGATATATCAGAAGGTTCTTGAATCTTGGTAATGCTTTCTGTCATTAACTCTACATTTTCAGTTGTTGTACAAAGTTTGCCTTTGACCAATTACTGCTTAAGTATGCGTTATCAACTTGTTCCAAGACATGTATTGCTCTACCCACTTAGAAATTTCTCACTCAACAGCTTATAGGAAGAAGTAGCACAATACCAACAACTCTGTTCATGATCATACTCGATGATGTGCATACTACTCCCTCTCTTCCGGTTTAGAGGGCTCAAATAAATCTCATCAACCAAGGTAGATGGTGAGTGGATGGCATGACTTTTGTGGACACAGAACTGCCCGATGAAATATTTCCCACACGTTTGACTCACGAAATAATAAGTGCAGCACCCTTCCTCTAATTGGACTTGCATGGTGCATGTAGAATAAGATGCATGCATGACCACTAATTCCCTCTCTCTCATCTCTATGAATTAAATGTGGCGTGAGACTCAAAGCACTTTAACTCAATTGGACTCGTAAGTGAAACTAATATAATATATCTTTTTTTGGAGATGAGCCATTTAAAATAACACCATAAATGTGCTACTAAGTACAAAGGCAGGCCTGTCTTTCTGAACGCGCTGTTTGCTTCCTAGAAAATGTGTATGGACTTACCTATTTTGATATAGAATCATAATCCTGTAATTACTGTGGTTTTTATTTAATTTCAAGCTTTTGATGTTGATATCTCAATTAGGGACCATTGCTATGCCACTCACTGTTTTGTTTTCATGTTTTTTTATCTCGCTCCTTCCTCTAGTTGTCGCAGCATATTTTATCCATACATTCAGCGTTTGGAAATTTCTGCTTTCTTCTGTTTAGTTTTTGATAATTGTCTTTTTCTCTTTTGACTGGGCAGTCCTGATGACTGGGAGTCCTTTCTCCATTATTTAGGCTGTCTGCTGGAGCGTGACGTGAAGCTGCCTAAACCAACCACTGGCGAACATACTTGTTCTTCCTGCTCTGTAGATTCGAACAAGACTTCTCTCAGTGAGGAGGTGGTACGTCCTCCACCTGAAGCAATTCTCTTTTACCTTGTTTTGGTGACATGCACCCGGTTTACTGAAATTACATGTTTGTAGGTTGAATCTCGCCTTGCAAGTGCATTGTTATTTGTGCAAAAGCTACAAAAAAATGACTCCAGTGACTCTGTTAGAGGTCCTCATCTAGCCAATATTGAAATTGAACGGCAACACTGCCTCAGTGGAAACTCAACAAAGTTTATGGAAGCTTTGGTAAACTATTTCCACAGGTCTGTCGGGGTGCATCTTCTTTCTGTTTCTGTGCCCATTTGGAATCTCTTTATACTCTATACCATGTGCAAGCATGGAGATCACAGTCTTCAGCTTGCAATAAGCCAGTTTCTGTTGCTTCTGAAATTTTGATGTCCAATATGTATAATTTATGAAAGCTTATTTAAATAGTCACATTTTGAATTTCTAGAAAGTTAATTCGATATTTCTCTATTGCTATTCACTTCTCTATTATCATGTGTTGCTGATTCATCAAACTTTGTGTTCGGTGCTCTTTAGACATTGGTAGAGGCTATGTTTCCTACAGATTCTGGCATATTCATACTATCACCTCCTTGGCATCAGAAGCAACCATCCAAAAAATACTGGGAGATTGTACCGTACCTTCCAATATGCATCCTCACCTATGCCTCTCTTTTTCATTTGATAGTTGGCACCATTACACATGACCCATGCTGTTGCTATAAAAGCATGGGTATAAGCTAAACTATTCTGTCAATAGTTATAAACCACACTCCATATATTATTAACTTTGATATTTAAATGTATGACACTGTATCCATGTGAGCTCACCATTTTCTTGTAATGGTAAAAGTTTCGCTTTTCTAGCCCATACCGTGTTATGCGGTGCCTTGTACATGTGTGTCCATGTCTGTGCAATCTTGTGTTTTAGATGTCTAATTTTAGATCTACTGGTACTACATCATGGCACCATCTGTATCTGCATTCTTGAAAATATTGATAATAGTTCTTTCTATGTTTTCACGTTCATCTCTAATTTGTAGCTAACAACAGTGTTTGGCCTTGCAGATTTGGTCACTTGTCTTGCTCATCGTCAGATGTTGAAATATACCTCCACATGCTATCGGGTGATGAAATAACGGAGTTGCTAGATACAATTTCCAGATCTTTTGATGCATCATCCGTTTCAGTCAAAGCATTGGGTTTGACAATAACTACTTTTAAGGTTCAAGAACTTTTGGGAACTTTATTATCAAAGTCAACTACAGGTCCACCTTCTCCAGAAATCACATTATTGTGTTTCTATATGTTTGTTTAATTTGAAAAGCTGTACTATGCTGTGTTAACCAACCATTTATTCTTATACCTTAAATTGATATGCCAATTCAGATCTTCAGCGCATTGCAAAAGGAATGGTCGAGACATTTTACAAAAACTTGCCTCTCTCAAGAGACTTAGATCCTCAGGAAAGCATGCATGGAGAAGAACTGCTGTCTATGGCTAGCAATATTCTTGTGCAGGTATGTAGCTGTAGCTGATTATTACTTGTATGAGAGAAACAGGGTCTGGGAAGTGTCCATTTTAGTAATTTATAATCCGGTACCACAGTCCGTTATTTGCCACCTGCTTGAAGAGTGCATTCCTAATTTCCTATATCCTCCTGGTCAATGCATCGTGATTGTGCTATATGTTTTTTACATGAACTTTCGAGAACAATTATATTATCCAGCTGCTTGCACATTTCTCAGTGTCATTTTTACATTTATTAATATAAGAAATTACACAAAAGACAAGTTTAATATAGCAGCAGCAGCAACAACAACGATAAAGCCTTGGTCCCAAACAAGTTGGGGTAGGCTAGAGCTGAAACCCATAAGATCTCGCAACCAACTCATGGTTCTAGCACATGGATAGCTAGCTTCCACGCACCCCTGTCCATGGCTAGTTCTTTGGTGATACTCCAGTCCTTCAGAAATTCAGATCTCTCTTTATGGACTCATACTCCAGTCCTTCAGATCTCTCTTTGTGGACTCATACTCCAGGTCTTCAGATCTCTCTTTATGGACTCCTCCCATGTCTAGTTCGGTCTACCCCGACATTTCTTGACATTATCACCACTGGAGCTTCTGGAGGCTTGCGCTGAATATGCCCAAACCATCTCAGATGATGTTGGACAAGCTTCTCTTCAATTGGTGCTATCCCAACCCTATCCCGCATATCATTGTTCCGGACCCGACCCTCCCTTGTGTGGCCACACATTCATCTCAACATGCGCATCTCCACTACACCTAACTGTTGAACATGTCGCCTTTTAGTCGGCCAACACTCAGTGCCATACAACATTGCGGGTTGAATCGCCGTCCTATAGAATCCGCCTTTTAGCTTTTGTGGCATTCTCTTGTCACAGAGAACCCCAGAAGCTTGGCGCCACTTCATCCATCCGGCTTTGATTCGATGGTTCACATCTTCATCTATATCCCCATCCTTATGCAGCATTGACCCCAAATGTTGAAAGGTGTCCTTTTGAGGTACCACCTGCCCATCAAGGCTAACCTCCTCGTGCCTAATAGCATCGAAACCGCACCTCATTTACTCGGTTCTAGTTCTACTAAGCCTAAATCCTTTCGATTCTAAGGTTTGCCTCCATAGCTCTAACTTTTTATTAACCCCCGTCAGATTATCATCGACTAGCACCACATCATCTGCAAAGACCATACACCATTGGATATCTCCTTGTATATCCCTTGTGACCTCATCCGTCACCAAAGCAAAAAGATAAGGGCTCAAAGCTGACCCCTGGTGCAGTTCTATTTTAATCAGAAAGTTATCGGTGTTGCAATCACTTGTTTGAACACGTGTCACAACATTATGGTACATGTCCTCTATGAGAGTAATGTACTTTGTTGGGACTGTGTTTCTCCAAGGCCACCACATGACATTCCGCGGTATCTTATCGTGGGTCTTCTCCATGTCAATGAACACCATATGCGGGTCTGTCTTTTGCTCTCTTTATCTCCATCAGTTGTCGTACCAACAAAATGGCTTCCATGCTCGACCTCCTAGGAATGATACCAAATTGATTTTTGGTCATGCTTTTCATTCTTAAGCGGTGCTCAATGACTCTCTCCCATAGCTTCATTGTATGGCTCATCAACTTAATTCCACGGTAATTAGTACAACTTTGAACATCCTCCTTGTTCTTGAAGATTGGTACTAATATACTCCGCCTTCATTCTTCTGACATCTTGTTTGCCTGGAAAATGAGGTTGAAAAGCTTAGTTAGCCATACTATCGCTATGTCTCCGAGGCCTCTCCACACCTCAATGGGGATACAATCAGGGCCCATCGCCTTGCCTCCTTTCATCCTTTTTGAAGCCTCATTGACCCCACTCCTGGATTCGCCGCCCAAAATGCCTGCTGGTATCATCAAAGGAGTCGTCTCCTAGTATCATCAAAGGAGTCATCTAGTTCAATGGTTGAGTTCTCATTCTCTCCATTGAACAGCTTGGCGAAGTACTTCCGCCATCTATGCGATCTCCTCGTCCTTCACCAGGAGCTGATCTGCTCCGTCCTTGATGCATTTGACTTGGTCGAACATCCCTCGTCTTCCTCTGCTGGATCTTGGCCATCTTATCGATGTCACTTTTGACTTCCTTCGTGTCTAACCTATGATGTCTGCACTCCTATCCAGGTAAAGGCAAAACATTATTTCTTCTCCTTAATAGCCTTCTGGACATCATCGTTCCACCACCAGGTATCTTTAGCTTTGCTTCTACTTCCCCTAGACACTCCAAACTCCTCTGCAGCCACCTTACGAATGCAAGTCGCCATCTTCATCCACATATTGGCTGCATCACTTCTTCCTCCCAAAGGCCCTCCTTAATGACCCTCTCGAACGCCTGAGCCACCTCACCCTTGAGCTTCCACCACTTCGTTCTAGTGACTTTGGCATGCTTATCCCACTGGACATGAATCTGGAAGCAAAAGTCAGCCACCACAAGCTTATGCTGAGGTACAACACTCTCCAGATACACCTTACAATCTAGGCAAGCACGCATGTCTTCTCTTCTCGATAGAATGAAATCAATTTGGCGAGAGTGTTGACCACTATGAAAAGTCGCTAGATGTGATTTTCTCTATTTAAAGAGGGTGTTAGCTACGATCTTATCATAGGCTAGAACAAAGCTTAAGACATCTTCTCCTTGATTCCCGATGCCATAGCCAAATCCTCCATGCACCCCTTCAAAACTTGTGTTAGATGTACCCGTGGCCATTGAGGTCTCCTCCTATGAAGAGCTTCTCGCGAATAGGTACACTGCTAGCCATGTCATCGGGCCTTCCCAGAACTCCCTCTTGGTGTTCTCATTGTGGTCTACTTGCGTACGAGCTGATAACATTGACAACTAAGTCCCCAACTACCAGCTTGACCAGGATAATCCGGTCCCCATGCCTCTTGACGTCTACCACTCCATACTTGAGGTTCTTGTTGATCAAGATGCCTACTCCATTTTTGTTTGCAGTTGTCCGTGTGCACCACCGCTTGAAGATGGTATCCTCCACCTCCTTCGCCTTCCGTCCCCTCCATTTGGTTTCTTGGAGGCAAAGGATATCAACACCTCTCACCGCTGTATCAATTAGCATCCGTAGCTTACCTCTCAGGGACCCTATGTTCCAGCTACCTAAGCGGATCCTCCTAGGCTCAGCTAGCTTCCTTGCCCTTTGCACTCGTCGAGTCAAATGTGAAGACCCTTGCTCATTTTTCACTACACCCGGGCGTCGATGTAGCGCACCACTAAGGATGCGACGACTCGATCCTTGCTCACTTGTCACCGGCCCTTGCCCATTTGATACCACACCCGGGTTCCGCTATGGCGCTTCGCTGAGAGGTTTATGCCCCTATGATTTTCTTCTGGGTTTTATCTCCATATAAGAGTGGCCGAGTTTTGACGTTGGCTTGCCAAGCCTATCACGATCCTCCTCCTTTACCCAGGCTTTGGACCGCTGTTGAGACAACATAGGCTGAGTTAAGTTTAATATAGCACATAAAAAATTCCCATACTTGACCAATTTCACAGAATTAGACTTGGAACCAATTATATCAGAAAGCTCTAGACTTGTGGACCAAGTTTACCGAAGTGCTGATTTAGGGCCAGTTGTATCACAAAACATGTTTACGATGCATTTCCACTGATGCTGGGTCCACATTGCATACTCAAAATCCTAAATCTGTAGTTTTGTGATGTGATCTATCTGTAGGTTTATGAAATTATTCATAAGTATTGAGTTTGTGATAATTGTTAAATTTGTACTTGAACGAAATTTACCCTTCTTCTGCACTAAAATATACTCGTGATGTCTTGGAACAGCTTTTTTGGCGTACAAGGAACTTGGGGTACTTACTTGAAGCAGTTTTGGTGCTAGAGTTTGGATTGACTGTTCGCAAGTAAGTCTACTGTGATATGCACATATCTTCTGTTGAAACATGGGATTAGAAGATCCATTTGTCTATCACTATCTTTTATCATTGAGTTCTGTGGTTGATTTATTGTCAGCCAAATATCTACTCCCTCCGCTCACAAATGTAAGATGTTACTTTTGTGTGAATCAGATGTATATAGACACATTTTAGTGTGTCTGTTCACTCATTTCAGTACGTATGTAGTCCATATTGAAACATCCAGAACATCTTATATTTGTGAACGGAGGGATTAGCTTTTTAGGACATACTGAATTATGCTACCGAGTTGACTAAGATGGTTACATTTGAAGCATAAGAGTATTATTGTCCAAGCGTTGTTGCTACATTTGTACAAAAGTGACATTAGATTTTATCCTAGTAGCCACAAACTCTATTTCTTTTTCTCTCTTCTAATTTTCATGACTTATCTGAATTGGCTATCTAAAATTTGCTATGTCCTGTGGTAATATATTATCTTGTTGATGAAGTCTAAGAATACAAAAGTTAGGTAAATGAATGCTTTTGTTCCACTTTATGAAGCCAAGATAATGTCAAATAGTTACTACTCCCTCCGTTCCTAAATATAAGTCTTCTTAGAGATTCCAATATAGACTACATACGGAGCAAAATGAGTGAATCTACAGTTACACTCTAAAATATGTCTATACATCCGTATGTAGTCCATATTGGAATTTTAAAAAATACTTATATTTAGGAACAGAGGGAGTATACCATATTCAATCAAGTTATGGTTTTGAAAGAAAAACATATTATACCTGTTTATTTTACGTAGCTGAATGATAATATCGATTTTGCTCGTCTGCTCAGGCATGTCTGGCAATACAAGATTACTCTGGTGCATCTGTACTCTTACTTGGGAGCTCTTCCGTTGGCACATCGATGGTAATCTTTCCCCTTGCAGATCTATTTTGAACAGTGCTCTCACTATTTAGAACGTGCTCCGTAGTGGACCATTGTCCCCTAGGTAACTCCATGGTAAAAAGGTGCTTTCACAAGAAATTCATTTGTTCCATCCCATGCGCTTTTCTTATAGATAAATTCAATGTTCAAGAAAGTGTTTTTAGGCTTAAGCATGCTTAAGCGCTAAGCGACAGCTAAACGCTTTGCTTCTGCCCTAGGCGGAAGTTTTAGCGTTAAGCGAAAAAAAAGCGGGATTTAGCGGCCGCTGAGCGTGCTTAAGCGTTCAAAAAGCGAGGAATGGGCCACGGGCTGGAGGTAAAAGGGGGGGTATAAAGGCCTGGCCCAATACTGGCCTGTTCAGCTAGGGTTTACTGGGTTAAAAGGGGAGGGGGGAGAGGAGAGCTCCAGTGGCGGCTGTTCCTGTTCTGCATCCAACTCAGCTCCATGCATTCTTCCTCCTCGTCCCCGGACTGGATCTGAACTACTGCTAGGGCTGGGCTGGGGCTGCTGTTTGGCTGCTGCTGCTGCTGCTTGCCTGCAGCTGCCATTTATCTTATATGCTCTAAGACAATATTATGCATTTATGCTTGCTGTGTGAACCACTGAACCGTATCCTTATGTGTTATTTGGCTATTTGTTGTGGTGTGTGAACAACTGAACCTGAACCTTATATGCTATTTCATATTTTCTGTTACCTGTGTGCTATATTTCCTGTTTACTTGTGCATATTATTCAAAAACAGCCAAATTCTGGCCAATTAAAAAAAACGCTTAATCCCGGTTAAGCTGCGCTTAAGCGGCCATTGCTCTAAGCTGTGGCCTTCCACTTCCGCTTAATGCTTTCTTGAACATTGGATAAATTGTGTTTATGTAGAATGTTGATCTGCTAATTATTTCTTAGTCATTAGTGGTTTTTGTTTGTTTCCTCGAGGTTGTTCGATGAGACCAGGGTTTCATCTATTTATCCTGACCTGTATTCTTGTATACAGGTATGTAAGCCTGGAGGTCAAAAACATTCTTCTAGAATCCGTCTCACACCACATCTTGCCACAGATGTTGAGTTCTCCTTGCTTGCAACAAACTGCCAGTCTTGTGAAGGATTATCTTAGGTTCATGGATGATCATTTGAAAGAATCTGCTGATCTTACCTGTCTTGCATATAGGCACCGTACTTACTCAAAGGTAAGCAACAGTTTTTTACTTCTCACTACACTGTACAACATAAAAGTAGTGGTGTAATCTGTATTTGCCCGCTGATTGTGAGCACTACTACTTAGTTTCCACTATTTGTTCTCACTGTTCACAGCCAGGGCTTGAAAAGTAGTACCTATCACCACGAGCAAGAACAGATATGTAAACTGGAATCTAGGGCGAAAATTTTCATGGTCTTTTGTTGCTTAGTTTGTGTGATTATACTCCCTCCGTACCAAAATATAAGACGTTTCTGCAGTTCAAATTGAACTACAAAAACGTCTTATATTTTGATACAGAGCTAGTAGTTTGTATAGCTCAATGTTAGGGTATTATAATTTATAGAATTCTTCTCTATGATACATACTTGCAAAGCTGATGCCATATATATCTAAATTATTGCATTATTTGTTAAATAAGTATGCTGCTTAACTTTGGAGCTTGGATCATGTCACTTGTTCCCCAAAAGAAAATATGCTTGGTGTTGGGCAAAATTCATTGAAGCTGTTACTCTGACAGAAAAATAATCTCAAAAAACAAATACCCCCCCCCCCTAGTTATGTTGTTTACTTATCGAAAGAAATATTCTGCAGCATTTTCTCATTATTCTGTGATATTGTTGCCCAGGTAATTGAATTTGTGCAGTTCAAAAATCGCTTGCAACGCTCCATGCAGTATCTTGCTGTAAAATCTGATTCTGTAATACTGAGCCTGAAGCAGAAGTCTGAGTCTCTTGAGGAAGTGGAGGTTAGTTGTCACTTATGAATTTCAAACCCCAAATTCAGGAAGTAGTTTTATTAAAATTATCGGCACACATTGATGCTTGAAGGAAATACATTTACTTTTTCTTTTCCAACCTGTAGCCATTTTGAACCGTGCATACAAAATTCTATTATTATAAATGGATATTCTATCAGGACATCGTCTCGTAGGCGTTAATATTTTCTTGTACAAGTAAATAGTACTACCTCCTTTCCGGTTTATAGGGCCCATTCAAAAATCTCACCAATCAAGGTAGATGGTGAGTGGTGGAATAATTTTTGTAGTTTGCAAAAATACTCAATTAATGTGCTCGTTTTCCTCAAAAACTTGTGTTTACCAATGCACTAATTGCAATGCATGCATGCATAAAGTACATGCATTTGGTGAATTTTCTCTTAATCCTTCCATCCAATGATTTAATGCACCTTAAAATCTGAACATGTGATGGGGAACAATCAAATTGAGACTTATAAAATGGGAAACCTAAAATTGTGAGATAAGCCCTATAAACCGTAAAGGAGGGAGTATCGGTACCTTTCATTTTTTATGTAACCCGTGCCAATACTGATAATTGTCCCTAATTGCAGTCTGTTCTTGAAAATGTGAATCATGGAGGAGGCTTGGTTGATCTATCAAGTGAAGACAACATGAAACATTTAACTTTTAATGAAGATCTCGAGGCACGTCCTTGGTGGACACCAACAACCAGTGTAAATTTTCTTTCAGGTAGCTTCTCATGCTATGCAAAGTTTCTTATCTGTTTTGTGCTTGACAATAGCACCATTTTGAACTCACTATGTTGCATGCTTGGTAGTTAGTTTTTTCCATCCATTTTGGTGTCTTTGTTGGATCATTTATGGTCTTGGAAGCACAAAAGTTCTTACTATTGTTATGGACTTGTGATTTTACAGAACCAATTGATGAAAGTTCGACACCTGCGCGCTTTAGGGCCAAAGTGGTATGTCATTTTCTTATAACCTTCATTTACACCGGCTCAAACATTTTCTTTCTTATCACCTTCATTCATTGCATTACTTAATTAATATTTTGAAGAAAAAAATATATGCATCACCCGTGTGACATCTAGTTGACTATCTGAACGATCTAAAAACCTAGTATACCTCCGCGTGGCAGGTGACATAACCCTTGCACACGTAGGGTTCCACGTGCCAAGCCTATTATTTATTTATTTTTCATCGTTAGCCTGGACACTTTATTTTTTCAACAACATGCTTCTTCATTCTTCTCATCTCCACCTCCCTCCAAAATATGGCGTGTTTTTTTACTTCACCAATGCAGCCTGCCCACAGGTTGCACCTTCCAATGCCGATTCGACCCTGTTTAATGTCGATGGGCCTGTGGCGATCCTTAGTTGTGGTGGCTATGTTCCCTTGCCATGAGTGACATGATCCCTAGCCCAGTGAGTGGATATCGGTGCGTGCTGAAAAACCCAGCCCACTTTCTTCTGCACCACAATTCCGATTGGCTCCAAAATCCGTAAGGCCTGGAGGCAGTTGCAGTCGCCTCCTCGGTGCATTGCATGGAGAGATGATAAACACTTCCTATGTATATTACAACAAATGCAAGAAGTGATAAGGCCTGGAGGCAGTTGCAGACGCCTCCTCGGTGCATTGCATGGAGAGATGATAAACACTTCCTATGTACTCCCTCCGTTCCAAATTACTTGTTGTGGTTTTAGTTCAAATTTTAACTAAAACCATGACAAGTATTTTGGAACGGAGGGATTATATTACAACAAATGCAAGAAGTGATATTTCTATCCGACTAGGCACTAAGCAAAAGTTCCCTACAAATTTGTTTCAGCCTGTCAACTAAATCATTCCTTCCCTCTAAATTTTTTATATGTTTATTGCAGTGCAAGCACAAATCTACTGAGAAGGATGGCCCTAAGATGAGAGATGCTGAGAGAAAATGTCTTGTCCCCCGGCTTGTTTACCTTTCCATGCATGGTTGTGTATCTTCCCTCAGGGAGACTGAGCCCAATGGGTCTGTTTCTGATATCACTGTTGGGGAAATGAAAACCTTACTTGAGAAATATGCTAGGACTATTGGCTATTCCATGGATGATGCTCTAAGCATGATTCTTGGTATATCTTCAGGCAAGAAGTCTATGAAGGTATGAATTAACTGAATATTTGTTCCCTTTTTGTATTTACTTTCCTAATAACCTGCCGATATTGTTCACCTATCAGCTATTCTTTTCTTCAGTCTTTTTGTATCTGAAGAATGATTTAACTATTTGCCTATTCATCTTGCTTCGGTTAGAAAGTAAAAAGCACATGGTTCTTTCCATGCTCTTACAAAGCTAAATCTTGAATTCTAAAGCAGTGTTGCTTTTAATAACTGTACTTGGTATTTATACCTTTTTTTGTTGAAAGCGCAAAAGCACTACCTTTAAGATTATGTAATCTGTTGCTCCTGGTATGCTGAATGGAATGGTTCAATCAATTCAACCCCTAATGTTATGCTTCCCTTTGACTTTTTCTACAAGTTAATTACATCCTTTGTGGAAATAAACTGTTTTGCACTTCACTGAAATGGATTTAATTTTGAAACAGTAGTTTTGACTCCTTGCTCTTATTGCTGCACAACTGCAGTACCATGATTAACCCATCAACTGCACCTTGCTGACAACTGTATTTTCAGGATTTTGCTCCTGATATTGTGAGCTGGATGAGTTTTGCTGTATTTATTAATGCAATGAACTTGTGGTCAAATGAATCAGTGATCCCCAGAACTGATCCGAGCAGCCCAAGTTCTTGGGAGATTGTGGACAGCTTAGTGAAAATTTGCATAGAGGAGCACCTGACTGATGCCAATAGAATCCTAACTTGTCCTGGAAATAAAATTCCACTGTTAGTGCAAATGGTTACAGAACCCATTTCTTGGCATCTCATCATAATCCAGTCCTGCATGAGAGTGGTGGCCCCGCAAGGAAAGAAGAAAAAGAAAAGCGGCCCATCGCTGCGACCAAACATGCCTCAGTTGCAAGGAATTCAAAGATCTGTTCAGTGCTTGATTGAAACACTCCGAAGTGTCCAAAAATGGTTATCTGATCAGATGAGTCCAGAGGAGCAAGGTTTGGATATCTTAATGTCATATTTGCAAGGAACTGGCGATGAAGGTCCAGGACAGACATTCAGAGTCTTGGAAGAGAAACCAGCAGCACATGCCTCTGAGCTTGGTGATCGAATTGCTCAGTCTCTGGAAGCATGGAGTTCTACTGGTGTGGTAAGAAGAATTGTTGGAGCAGAACATGAGGTGCTAGCCGAGTTCAAGAAAATGGTTGACTCTAAACTCAAGCTGCTCATGTCGGAATCGGCTTCTCTATCTTCGGTGTTACACTAGAGTTGATAAAATTTTGCACATGAATTTTGTTGTATTCTTGTTGTGGCGTTCCATTATACATATGTTGTAAAAGTATAACAGAATGGCTGTGCGCTTTTGTTGTTTGACTTTCTTTTATTCGATTGAGGACATCTTTTTAACCTTTGCTTTTGTGTCTCTGCTCCTGATTTGGTATTGTGGTATAGTTATTGTATTACTCCAATTTGATTTTTGTTGGCGATTTGTTGCACAAGCCATTTGGTGTCTCATGTCTTTAACCGGTCGACACAAGCGGGCATGGCTTTGACGGGGAACCACTGCAATTATTTGTTACTTCCATGACAATCAGTTCTAGTCCAGCGAAGAGCGTGACCATGACTTTGGGAGATAGTACCTTTGTTCCAAAACGGGTGCAGAACTTATGGGCATCTCCAGCGCCGGACCAGAAAATGGGCATAATATTTGTCCGAGGACGCGAATAGTGTATTCATCACTTAGGGAGATAGAACGTAGGGGCATCTCTAATGGAAGGCGGCCATCAAATGCTTGTCCCAAACTTTGGTCCGTAATTACAATATTTTGTCAGTCAAAGTAAACTTAAAAAAGTTAAACTAATCTGTAATAGACGGTGTCAAAATAAAACTTAAAAAAGTTAAACTAATCTGTAATAGACGGTGTCATCATCCGAGTGGCCATTCTAACGGTGTAAGGGTGAGGGGTCACCTTGTCCGATCGCGTCACTCTTACCAACATTAATGTTGTGGAGTCACGCCCGCTCTGATGCGGCCTGACCAACATGAATATGCGGCAACCACTTCACGCAGAGAGGGTTTTGGATGGGACGTGGCGGTCAGACACGTACGTGGCGGACGTCTGGACACTGGCAAACCTTCAACCGGTTTGCGTTCGGTTTAAAGGATTTGAACACGCGGATGCGTCCATGGATCGATGGGCACCGAGTTGGATGACTTGCATCATCCGGACACGTCGGTCCGATCGTTTGCATGCGTTTTGTGGGTTCGCGTTGGAGATGCCCTATAATAGGATAAATAAAATCTCGAGTCCCCAGAAAATAGTTACTGGGGTCCTTGTAATAGTTTTCAGATCATTAGGGTGGGTTGCTTTTGTAGATCCTAATAACCTACCCCTAATGCGCAAACTGGCATATGGGCCCCACTTGTAATGGGATATACTGATTGCTTCCTTTGGTGATCCGGAAATGAAGCAGAAAGGATTCTCGCCTTTTCCCCCGGAGGCGACCCTAAGTAATCGAAACCACAGGAGGACGATGCCCTTTAAGCTAAGATTTCAAACAAGGTTTGGTTAGAGAATTAATTCCAGCTTTGTATCGGATGATAAATCAAGTTGACACTAAAAGAACACTTATAATAAAAATAGGCTTGGATATGAGGACTTATACTTACAACCATATATTTGTGTCGGGACCTTCTTACTTTGTGCTCTGGAAGTCACCCATCAAGATATGCTTGTTAAGTATCAAAGTGGGGAATATGTCCAAATTACATCTTGACCAGCACACGTCCTGCATCAAGAGTCAATTGTCCAACCAAAGGCCCTATCCGCCGCGCGGGGTTGCCTCGATAATTAAGATTGCAATAATCATACAAAAGCATTGGACGTTTAATGACTACACCTCGTGAATCCCCAGGGATAGGATCCGTGTTACCATACTAAACCTTTCTGTCACTGGTGTTTAGAATAACACTTCACGGTCTCCATTCCCTTAGCCTCTTCGTGGCTCGTTCTCTATGATTCTGGGTAACTGCAGGGATGAAGAACACGAACGAGACAAGAGACAACTCAGAACAATTTTATGTTACACATACGAGACGTTAATTCAAAGTCCTTTCATTGACCCCTCCAACAAATACATTAGGAAGACCCTTGCCTTAACCCATGACCTTATCGAACTACTAACACATGATCACACGAAGGACACATCGAAGAACACATCATGAAGATAGATAGATTGATAATATGTCTTAAAATGGATGTCGTGTGTGATACATGATTACATGTATGACTAAATTGCTGAGAACTATGGTGGTGGTGAAGGTTGTGGCTATGGAGATGGGAAATGGCGGTGGCTAGGGTTGGTGGAGATGGCTATGGTGGTGATAACGAAGATTGGCTTGTTCTGTGCTCCCTTGTTATCCATTTGGCGTCGGCCCTTTATAAAGGCTGTTCAGGTGGACCAGGAGCCTCGGTTTCCGTGCCATACGATCGCCCATAAGAGCGGGCGCGCTCGTATGAAACGCCGTCCTTTGCTCTGTTTCCTATGGTGCGCCTCCCAACTGATCCCCTCTATCTCCACTTTACTCTTTTCATGTATTGGCTTGATTTCGTCCATAAATAGCCATTTCCCGTGGAAACAAAATAAATGAAGGATATTTGGAATCCAATGCATTCATTAGTCAGTAGTGGCAATATTGGAGCAAATATCTCGGTTCTAATGAAATATATCGGTTTAAACTCATGTTAGAGGAGTGTAAAAAAGAACACTTGTCAACTCCCCCAAGCTTAAACTTGATCGTCCTCGAGCAACGTAGAGGGAAACCCGAATCATAAGCAACTCAGTTGTATAAACTGAAATAATGAGAAGGTTTTGGTTCACTTACGACAGGTACGTCTAGATAGCCCCCCGCTTCTTACCTGAAAACTTAGTATAGCTGTAGTGGTGGCATGATTATTATGTAAGTGTTAGTGAAGCAAAGATAATCAACTCAAAGCTCTTGCTCAACTAGATAAAATAATATGGTAGCACCTAATTCTATTTCCCCTAGTTAACACTTGTTTGCCAGGAGTGCACGAAATAATTTTTTCTTTCTTTGAGCAATGAAAACATAAATTAGGGAGTGAAAAAGTATGTAAAGACAACATGATTCTAGAGTAACCCGCTAGCACACCCACGAGTGTCTCGTCGTCCAGCCTCTCAAGGACTATGTTTCAATCATTGTTTGCTAAAAAATTTGTTGTCACATGACAGGATTATGCCAAATAGTGAGCATGCATAAGGTTTCATAGTGGCTCAATTTTTGGGAACTATGGACCAATGTGTTGTCTCTTGTGATCTCTTGTGACCAGTTCCCGGTATTTACCGCATACACACATTCCAGAGAAAGCTGAATAATTGTGACGCCCCCGATTCAATCATACACTAATCATACATGCAAACGTGTACGATCAAGATCAGGTACTCACGGGAAGATATCACAACACAACTCTACAAATAAAATAAGTCATACACGCATCATATTACAAGCCAGGGGCCTCGAGGGCTCGAATACAAGAGCTCGATCATAGACGAGTCAGCGGAAGCAGCAATATCTGAGTACAGACATAAGTTAAACAAGTTTGCCTTAAGAAGGCTAGCACAAACTGGGATACAGATCGAAAGAGGCGTAGGCCTCCTGCCTGGGATCCTCCTAAACTACTCCTGGTCGTCGTCAGCGGCTTGCACGTAGTAGTAGGCACCTCCAGTGTAGTAGGAGTCGTCATCGATGGTGGCGTTTGGCTCATGGGCTCCAACGTCTAGTCGCAACAACTGGTTATAGAAAGGGAAAAAGGGGCAGCAAAGCAACCATGAGTACTCAGCCAAAGTACTCGCAAGCAAGGAGCTACACTATATATGCATTGGTATCAATGAAAGGGGTAGTATATGTGGACTGAACTGTAGAATGCCGGAATAAGAGGGGGATAGCTAGTCCTATCGAAGACTACGCTTCTGGCAGCCTCCATCTTGAAGCAGAAGAAGAGAGTATATGGTAAGTTAACCAAGTATCAACGCATAGCATAATCCTACCCGGCGATCCTCCCCTCGTCGCCCTGTGAGAGAGCGATCACCGGGTTGTATCTGACACTTGGAAGGGTGTGTTTTATTAAGTGTCCGGTTCTAGTTGTCATAAGGTCAAGGTACAACTTTGGGACGTCCTTTTACCAAGGGACACAACTATTCGAATAGATAAACTTCCCTGCAGGGGTGCACCACATTTCCCAAGACGCTCGATCCCCTTTGGCCGAACACACTTTCCTGGGTCATGCCCGGCCTCGGAAGATCAACACGTCGCAGCCCTACCTAGGCATAACAGAGAGGTCAGCACGCCGGTCTAAATCCTACGGCGCAGGGGTCTGGGCCCATCGCCCATTGCACACCTGCACGTTGCAAGGGCGGCCGGAAATAGACCTAGCCTCCCTAATACAAGAGCAGGCGTTCCAGTCCAATCCGTCGTGAGCCGCTCAGTCGCTGACGTCAAGAAGGCTTCGACTGATACCACGACGTCGAGTGCCCATAACTGTTCCCGCGTAGTTGGTTAGTGCGTATAGGCCAGTGGCTAGACTCAGATCAAATACCAAGATCTCGTTAAGCGTGTTAATTGAATTAACCGCAGACGCCAACCAGGGCCAGGCCCACCTCTCTCCTAGGTGGTCTCAACCTACCCTGTCGCTCCGCCACAAAGGTTCACTCAGAGGGCCGTCAGGACAAACGTCCTTTCGGTCCCAAACCATGAATCACTCGCGGGTACTCTACGAGTCGACCCGACTTTAGTCACAACAAGTATCATATATTATGTATAAAAGAATATACCCGTGATCACCTCCCGAGTGATCACGGCCCGATAGTATAGCATGGCAGACGGACAAGAATGTAGGGCCACTGATGGAATACTAGCATCCTATACTAAGCATTTAGGATTGCAGGTAAAGGTAACAACAGTAGTAGCAAGGACATGCTATGCATCAGAATAGGATTAATGGAAAGCAGTAACATTGTAAGCTACTCTAATGCAAGTAGTAGAGAGAAGAATAGGCGATATCTAGTGATCAAGGGGGGGGGGGCTTGCCTGGTTGCTCTGGCAAGTAGGGGTCGTCAACAACGTAGTCGATCGTGGCACCAGCAGCGGCGTCAGTCTCGTAGTCTACCAGAGAGAAGAGGGAGAAGAAACAATGAATACAATGCAAACAGATGCATATCGATGCATGACATGACAAGTAATGGTGCT